GATAGCACACTTCCCGTCTTCTGTGGGGGCAGGAAGAGCATTGGAGCTGGGGGAGGGAGCAGGACCTGGGAGTGTCAGGTGCTCTCTCCAAAGACTGAACCATTTCTTTAGTTACCGCCCTCACCCGCTCCTTCAAGGCAACTGGATCTTCCTATTACTGAGCCTTTCTGGGATTCTGCTCAGAGAACCTGCTCATTTCTTGGTGGCTCCTGCCTCTTGCACATGTCTTAGCAGGGCAGAGAAAGCCAAAACCCCAGACAGCTCTCGTTTGTCTGTTTTCCTTCCAGAGTGCTTTTGACAACTCTTCTCTGCTGTTATATGATCTCATCCTTTTTATCCTGTGAGTTTAAAACTTTTAAACTTCATTTTGTTATGCTTTTAGTGAGGTGTCATGAGGAAATAGACGTACATGTATGTGTAAATCCTAACCTTAAAGAACTCATTCATTCGGTCGTTTGAATGGCATGTGTACTGTGGGTCAGAACTCTTCTTGCTGCTGGGGTGCAGTGGTGCCCAGACCAGCCTTCCTGTTCTCATGGAGTTCCAGTGCTGGTAGTGAGGACAGACGCTAATCAAGACAAGTAAAGGTCCAGTATGTTAGATAGTGAGACATGTGAGGGAGAAAACGTAAAGGGACATGAGTAGGAAATAGTGTGTGGAGAATTGTAATCTTTTTAGGTAGAAGGCCATGGAAAGCCTCATTGAGAAAGAGCCATTTGAGTGAAGACCTTAAGAAGTGAGAGACCTGATTGCACAGATATTTGGGGGAAGAACAGTACAGGCAGGAGGAGAGTCAGAACAAGGGCCCTGAGGCAGTAGTGTGCCCAGCCCATTTCAGGATCAGCAAGGAAGACGGTGTGGCGGGGTCACTCTCTAAGGACTGGCTTTTATACTGAATGAAGCTGGAGGGTTTTGAGCAGGAGCAGAATGTGCTCTAACTCACCTGATTGATAACGGAGCCACTGGCTGCTGTGTTGAGAATAGTGGGGGAGGGTGTGCAGGCAGGGAGACAAGTTAGGACACTATTGAAATGTTCTAAGTCACATGGAAGTTGTGAGTGGCTGGATTCTGGATTCCGTGATGAATTGGGATATGGGTTATGAGACAGATCCAAGATTATTTTAAGGTTCATGGCTCTTGTGGGCTTTTGAAACTGTAGAACTTTGGTTTCATATAAGTAATAGTCTGTTAAATGAATACTTTGCTAACGAATAAGACACAGAAATACTTTAAGTAATTTTCCCTTATAAACCATAACTTTTTTTTTTTTTTAAAGCTCTTCACAGAATATGGTCGCCTGGCAATGGATGAGATTTTCCAGAAACCCTTCCAGGTAGAATGTTAGCTATAAATGTCATTCATATCTTTGTTTTAGTTCAGAGGTCAGCAAACTACAGCTTACAGGCCACACCTGGCCAGCTGCCTATTTTGATATGATCTATGAGTTAGGAATGGGTTTTACATTTTTAAGTGGTTGAAAAAATCAAAAGAGGAATAATACTTTATGGTATGTGTAAATTATCTGCAATTTCAATGCCAGCGTCTATAGCTGAGGTTTTATTAGAACACAGCTACACGTCTTTGTATTGTCCATGGCTGCTGCTTGCTACCACAGCCTAAAATATTTACTCTCTGGCCTTTTACACAAAAAGTTTGCCAACTCCTGCTTTAGCTAATTGTTTCATGAGGATGAGAATGCACAGCAAGATTAGGGGAATTTTAAGTATTGTTATTTAGTTTTCTTTTCCCTTCTAATGTTAAAAGTAGATCTGGTGCTCACTTTGGCAGCGCATATACTAAAATTGGAACGATACAGAGAAGATTAGCATGGCCCCTGCGCAAGGATGAAAAGCAAATTCGTGAAGTGTTCCTTATTCTTGTGCGGAGCCACAGCCTCCTCACACCCTTTGCTAATTAGCCCCCAAGAAACAATGAGTTCAAAGCACACAAGGAACTCAATAGCAAAATTGTGGCTTAATAAAAATTAAAAAAAAAAAAAGTAGATCTGATTTATGACTAGTTTTGTTTTCTCTCTTGTCCTTTACCACATTCCCATACATGTCCTTCTAGTGTTTATAAGGTTTCTAAGACATCACAGAATTGACCAATTCTTAATGTTTTCTTGCCCGCTTTAAAGAAGCTGGCCTTGTGCAAAGAAGTATTTAAATTGTTATTTTGAAAATGAATTTATGCAACATTATAAATATATTCTGCTCTTTTCCAAAATAGACACTGATGTTTTTGGTTCGAGACTGGAGCTTCCCTTATGAATACAACTATGGGCTACAGGGAGGAATGTCATTTTTGGAAAAGCGTCTACAGGTAAAGAGAAATATAATCTGAGGAATTACCTAAAAGTGGTGATAACTTACTCATTTGCCTTAGCTATGTATGGAAAGCAGATTATGGAAAATTATATTAAGTGTGTTAAGTACTTATGAATACTAGCACACACTAATGTTTTTTATGGTTTTAGATAGAAGAACCTGGGTATATAATGCATAGGGACTGCAGAGAAGAACTCTGGGCTGTAATTATAATTTCCATTTCCCATTTTACATCAGGCTCTGTATGTGCCATTCAGAGCTTTAGTTCTGTTGTTCTTATTTAAAATTCTTAATTGTTTTAGGATGCATGTAAACAGGCTTAGTCTTTTCTCCAAAATTAAAACACAGGAGTCCTTTGTCAATCACTACTGTCTGATTAGATTCTCCTTTATGCCCACAAATGAAGAAACTCTTTAGTACCTATTCTTCGACAGCTATAGGATCCAAGCCATGATTAATCAAATTTATGCATTTATTGCTTCTTAGGGCTCTGAGTTTTCTCACTGGACAAAACATAGGCCACTATGACCCATCTGAGTTGGGGCCTCTTTCCTTTGTCCTGTACTAGTGGTTCTTAGTGAAGAAAAACAAATGGTCTTTTGTAAATTGTCGGTCTTCGTTGGCAGGTGAAAGAACATCAACATGAAGAAATTCAGAATGTCCGAAATCACATTCACTCATGTTTCTCCAACGTCACCTGTTTCCTCCTGCCACATCCAGGACTACAGGTGGCCACAAGCCCTGAGTTTGATGGGAAATTGAAAGGTGTGTTACAAATGATGTTATTTTAAACATGTGATTTGATCCTTGGAATTAAATAATGACCAGAGAATGTCAATTATGAATCTAGTGAATACTTAAGAGAAATAGTGTGTTCTCTTAGAAAGAATAGTATTTAGAGTCGTTCAGTATTTGCTCCTGTCTTACTCTGACCATCAGAATTCATTCACATTAGTTTCTCCATCTGAAATGGTGGTGATGATACCCATTAGTGGTCTTTCTAAGAGGCATATTACGATTATTCATTTATAAGATATAAAGGTGCTAAGTAAAGGAAGACTAAACATTAGTCAGCTGGTATGTATCAAGTAAAATTAACTTCCCAAAGAAAGGTGTGATGCATGGCATGGCTATTGTTTTCATCTTATTTGTGATTATAACAAAACCTGATGCTGAGTCATGTGTTAATATCAGGATGTACTGACTCGATGGTAGTTTAGAGAAATCAGAGTTGGACTCTTGGGTTCCATTATCTTATTTTTGTTCCTTAATCATTGAGACCTTGAATCATTTAATGGCTGGCCCTCAGTTTACCCGTGTGTTAAACTAAGCACTTTGTTTACAAACTTATCTGAGCTTCTCAGCTTTCCTGTAAAGTATAAATAATAGTAGTTGCCATTTTTAGAGGTGCAGCTGTGTTCCTAACTGCTTTAGTCTGTTTGAGCTGCTATAACAAAATACTGTAGACTGGGTAGCTCATAAACAACAGAAATGTATTTCTCACGGTTCTGGAGGCTGGAAGTCCACGATCAGTGTGGCAGCGTAGGGGGGTAAGGGTTCTCTCCCTGGTTTCAGAGTTCTGGTTGTATCCTCACATGGTGCAAGGGGCCAGGGAGCTCTGTGGGGTCTCTCATGAGAGCACTAATCCAGTCGTGAGGGCCCCACCCTCATGACCTAATCACCTCCCAGTGGCCTCACCTACTCATACCATCACCTTTAGGGATTAGGATTTCAACATATTAATTTGGGGGAGGGACACAAACATTCAGACCATCGCACCAACACTATGCTAGTTATGTTCATACTTAATCCTCTTAGTAATTCCATGAAGCTGATATTATTTCCTTTATTGTGCAGATGAAGAAACTGGTTTAGGAAAGTTAAGTAACTTGCTCAAAATACTTAGCTAGATGGTGGTGGGGCAGAGATTCACATCCAGAGCCTTCTTGGTCCAAATCCACACTATGCTAAAACAGAAGTTGTTCTGTTATATTGGGGAAGTAATTTAGAGGATATATACTATTTAGTTACCAGGAGAACTTGCCTCAGTTGGTCCCAGAAAGTTAATGTACTTGTTCAACTTAAGATTTACATTCTAGCTCATGATATTGCAAAATTAACCAAGTTTGAGAGGCTTACATTTACCTTCTACTTATCACATGTATGGTATTTTCAGGTGGTTGGCAGCTTTTCTGAACAGGATACTTCCAGAGCCTATTAGGTGGCAATTCAGAAATCCAAGTTTGGGGCCTGGCTTTGGAGAGAAGTCTGCTTAGACAACACTGGAGCTAGAACCTTTTACCTAAAAAGCAGTTGCCATTGACTTTTCAGAGTTGAATGTGGAGACAAAGTTGAGTGTGTAGGTGATGTCTCTTTTAGGGTTATAATGCTCTGGTATTAGACATACTTTTACCAAACGTAAGCTTTGGTTTGTTCATTGCTGGTAGGGAAGTTGTCCAGTGGAATTGTTAAAGGAGGATGTTTAGGAGGGTGGGTTAGAGTGACGGCCAGCCTTTCTTCTTGCCTCAGGGTGGTCTCAGGTTGTTGGACATAAACATACAAAATGGCATTGCTCTGTATTCTCAAGCATTTTGATATTTCAAAGCATTCTGGTTTTTTTCGTTGGTTTGTTTTTTAGGTGAGCCATCCTGCCACCTGTTGGCAGCTCAGCGGCAGCTCAGCTCGGGCTGGGACTTGAACCGCTGTTGCTCAGAGCTTGCACTTTTGAGCGAGCTCTTAACCACCTGATCCACTCGGCCGGCACCAAAGCATTCTGTTTTAAAATCCATTTTTATCATGCTATTCCAGGAAAGAGAAAGAGCTTCTTAGAGTTCTGTAACCCTGACTTTTGAAATTTGCAATCACTTTTGGGTATGCACATTGTATTATATTAGTTTCCTAGGACTGCTGTAACAAAATTCCACAAACTGGGTAGCTGAAGACAACAGAAATTTATTCGCTACCAGTTCAGGAGACCAGAATTCAGAAATAGAGGTGCCAGCATGACATAGTTGGTTCCTCTGGAGGCGCTGGGGGGGACCTGCTTCCTTCCTGGCTTCCGGTGGTTGCTGGCAATCCTTGGCATTCCTTGGTTTGCAGCTGCATCACTCCGTGGTAGTCTGTCTCCAGGGCCACCTTCTCCGTGTGTACCTCTGTGTTTGTTCTCTTTTTATAAGAACATCACTCTTTGGATTTCGGTCTCACCCTAACCTGGTATGACCTTATTTGAACTAAATGCATCTGTAAAGACTGTATTTCCAAATAAGGTCACATTTTGAGGTTCCAGATAGACATGCATTTCAGGGTGGGGAATGCTGTTCAGCCCAGCACACGTATTGGGTTGTCAGAAAAGTCGTGACGCATTTTTGCAATGAAAAACATAGAAAAAATATGTCAAATATGTCATGACTTTTCCGACAACCGAATATTTACAGATTATGAATGCTGATCACACTATATATTAAGTGTGCTACGTTTTATATGTATTATATTTATAAAACAGAGAACAAATTCTGTATAAGCAAACTTTAGTCTCGTAATTATGCACCATTTGCTTCCTTCATCCATGATTGAACTATAAAACACATTTATAGGGTTAAAATCTTCCTTTCTGACACGAAACGGTAAGTCCCAAAGGAAGAAATACAAATATATGTGTAGCAGCACAATAATCAAGGAAGTGCAAGTGTGTCGATACAAATTCATGCAGCCTTTATCGAGGTTGTCTGTCATGAGACACTTCTTGTCTACTCTGAGTCTAAAACTAATATTTTGGTACAGCCTTCATAGGAACAGAAATACCTGAGGGTCTATAGAACTGGGTATAATAACAATCTGTGGCGTGAGGATCCTGCTAATTCCATGTATGAAATATTCTTGAAGCTCTCAGTCTTTCAGCGTGATGAAAGTTGAAACCATAAAAAAGTTTTTTTTGAATAGGTAATACATATATTCATGTGTTTAAAATCCCCAAAAGGATAAAAAAGTGTTAAGTGAAAAGTTGCTCCCATTTTTGTAGTTTTCCAGTTTCTTTAGTATATGCAAGCAAATATGAATATATACAATAGCATATTATGTTATAATTTTTCACTCCAAGGTTATAAAGAATTTGTCCCACTTTTTGTTTTGAAAATTTGCAGTTTCATTTTTTACGTTGTAGTTTATCTGATTTCGGTCCAACTTATTTTCTGAATGGCTATCCATTTGTCCCAACACTATTTATTGAATAGTCCAACTTTACCCAACTCTGTCATATATTAAGCCACTAATCACTGTGTAATATGGAGATTAATCCCTTTTTAATGTTGGGGTAGGACACACTTTGGCACCATCCAGAAGAGATTGTAGGATTAAGAATATTTAGATGATGATTGGTACCAGTGTACTTAGGGAGGACAGATAAAACATTAAAGAATTTTTTTGGGTGTCGAAAGCTCTTATGATTGATCAGTTATTTAAGATGGGATGGGAATCAGTAGAGATGAGAAGTATATGTTAGAATTTAGAGAGAAATTTCATGTAGATTTAAACTTATAAGCCATAAATAAATTCTAGATAGATTTAAAAGTTAAATTATAAAAATTAAAGCATGGGGGAAAAGTTGATTTTATTAGACTTCTGGAATTGGGGAAGGACTCTAAAATTAAAAGGATGAATAAAATAAATTGTCAAAGAAAAGTGCTAAATAGGTTTGAATACGTAATAATCTTACTCATTTAAAAAAAAGACAGGAAATATTTCAGTGATCATAGTACACATAAGGATAGTGTATTTATTTATTCCTTGAAGAATGACTATATTGTAAGATAAAGACCCCTAATAGATAGTTCACTGAAAAGGAAATTAGTTGTTGGACAAATATGGGAGAAAGTTTGGCCTAACTAGTAATAAAAGAAATAAAAGAAAATGAAAATAATGAGCTCCCATTACATTTTTAAATGTACTATAACATATCCAAAAGAATGCAAAAGTATTACATATAAAAATGAAGGCATATAATATACAGAGGGTGCCAAAAAACTGTATACACATTTTAAGAAAGGAAAGCTGTATTAAAATTGTAATACTCATATATACTGATAACAAAAGATGAATACAAGTCACGTTGACTTCTGCAATTACAAGAGGTGCCCAGAGTGGTTACCATTAGCATCCAGACAATTCTAATAACTGCGAACTACTGCTTGAGCAACGTTGATCAAAGTGTCCACTTGTATACATTTTTTGGCACCCCCAGTATATATGTAAGATTTGCAACATCATATAATGAACATCATGAACCCACTACCCAACTTATTATCGAGAACTGGAGTTGACAAACTTTTTCTGTAATGGACCAGATAGTAAATATTTTAGGCTTTGTGGGTCATACAACTACTCAGCTCTTCTGTTGTTGCAAAAAAGCAGCCTTATGTAAATGAATGGCCATGGCTGTGTATCAATATACACACACATGTTTTGTTTTTCATATTCGTGTTTAATCAACTAGGAGTTAATTTTTGTGTATGTGTGAGTAAGAGAGATGTTTTCTATTTTTCTATATGGATACCAATACTTTTGACATCTCTCTTTATGACTAATATCTTTCCTATTTGTTCAAATTGAATATGAAAACTAAAACAACTTCTGCCTGCCTGTACTGTATTTCAACTGTTATTCCATCCAATTGTATATGTAATAACACTGGTGTATTATAAGAAAGTCTAGTACTTAAACATTTGAATTTACATAGAAGACAAATATGAAAGTAATTATTTGATTTACAGAATACATTTGTTTTTCAAAAGAAAAAAATTTACTGAAAAAGGAAGGGGTCTATTATTTATTTTTTTAAAGATTTTTGTTGGGGAATTAGGGGGATGGGAACAGACAAGTTGTTGTCATTTTTTTTTTCTTCAGTCTAGTTGTGGAGGACGTTGCTTCACTGGCCCAAGTTGGCACCATCATTGCGCTCTTCCCAGGCGAGGCAGATCAGTCGCTGGCTTCTGGACGGCCGCTCACGCTGGCTGCTGGCTACACACGGTAGCCCATGGCAACCCACTGCCACAGGGGCTGCAGCCTACGCCATCGCCAGCGACTCAGGGCAGCCCAGCTCCAGGTTGAGCTGTTGTTCAGCATCTTAGCTGTGGAGGGCAGTGTCACTGGCCCTCATATGTGGGATCCGAACCGGGGCCCTCTGGGGTCCCAAGCCAGTTCTTAACCATCGCACCACTCGGCCGGCCCGGAAGGGGGCTATTTTAAATGTTAATTGTCATTATCTTATGATGGGCTTTATAGATTTTTAAAAGTAGTTTTGAGTGTTTTCTGGGAATTTACGTTGTCATAATATCGAGTCATTCCTGTCAGAGGACTATATAATCTAAAGGAAATAAAAGTTAACCTGAAGTTCTTTTCAACAGATTTTTACGGTCATACTTGTAATTGGAAAAATTCAGAAACCACTTTTCTTTTATTCACCACTCTATCCCCAAATCTTACAACAATGCCTGCCACGAAGAGGTGCTCAAAAACTGTTGAGAGAATAAATACGAACGCCTGAATTTTACAAGTTAGGGAGTTTTGAAGAGTGTTGAAGAGTTCCTCCCTTGATGTGGGTTTCCTACCCACTTTCTTTTCATTTCACATAGTTTGAGTTAGTTGGAAACATAGGAAGATGTTAAATGATATAAATCAGATTCCTTGTGTCTTCGTAGTTGGACCAGGTGGTTCTCCCCTTGAGGGGAGAGCTCTATTTAATGGCTGTCCTGCACCCTCTGTGGGAACTTTGTAGAACTGCAAAGAAGTTTCCGAGATAGTAGTATTTTCCCTTTGGGGCGGCCCAGAGGGCCTCTCTAAGGAGACGCTAGAAAGTAAATACCATGAGGAACAGGTGCTTCTACTTCTTTTAAACATTAAAAAACAAAAATAAAGCAAATGGATGAATAGTGATTTCTAATGGCTTTAAGGGGGGTCTGGGGGTGTGGCAAGGGCCTGTTCTGAGAGAACTTGAGGGGTTGATACTTTATTTTTTTGAAGACCTTGTCAATGAAATTCTTTAAAAAGTGAAACTTCTTGAAAGACTAGGGAGTCGACTGAACCTCCCAGAATGAAAAGCAGGGTAAGGACAGTCTGCATATTTTCTTCTGGGCTAGAGGGGACTTAATACTGCAGAAGGGAAGGAGACAATAAAGGGACAGAACAGAGGTCCGTTAGCCACCTGGTCAGAGCCAGTAAGTGCCAGACACACAGTGTGGAACGCCCCCTCCTCCCCTCACTTTAAACTAGCACATGTTCAAACAACTAGACAGACTGAAGATTGTGTTCTGTGCTCACCTTGGTTGAACAGTCTGTTTGGCTCATTGTTTTCTTCTTCGTGGCCCTGTGAGCAGATATTGCCGGTGAATTCAAAGAGCAGTTACAGATCCTGATCCCGTATGTATTAAACCCAGCGAACTTAATGGAAAAGGAGATCAATGGCTCAAAAGTCACCTGTCGGGGGCTGCTGGAGTATTTTAAGGTAAATATGGGTTTTCATTATTAAAAGATTTGACTTTTGGTAAAACTGGTCTAGGTTGTAAACTAACTTGAATTTCAATATTTTAAAGCTTGGGGGAAGGTTTTGTGGGGGGAGATGGTGAGAGGCATTTTCAGACTTCGGTGTCCTGCCAGGAATGGGCACTGGGTGGCAGTATCAGCCTAAGAACCAAATGGATCTTCTTTGCACTCTCTTAGAGGAGTAATTACTGTGGCTAAAGGAAGATTGTTCCTCACGGAAGATGTGGACAGGAGGTGGTTAGGAAGTTGCTGTGAGTAGGAGGAGACCGCACCTAGATGTGACACGACTGCCTCAGGGCGATGGTCACTGCCCACAGGTAGTGGTGAGGCCAGCGTGCATGGGGAGTCTGGTGGACATCCTAGCCTTGGTAGGCGCGTGCTGCTTGAGAGCATTTTTAGTTAACTAGTAATGCTAACATGCACTCAAAGGTGTGTTGTGTTTTTGCTAATTCCTGGATGTTGAACTAGGTCTTTATTTGGGAAATGCAGTTTATATGGTTGCTGTTTCTAAAAATTAAAAGTATGATTCAATATGACAGAATGACATTTTTCATGATCATTTTTATGTTTCTATTCTAAGGCATATATTAAAATTTACCAAGGAGAAGATCTGCCTCACCCAAAATCCATGCTTCAGGTAAACAGTTCTTTGATATTCTAAGTGATATCCTTTGATCCCAGGAGTTGCCCCACATACAGTAGGCAGAGTCCTTTAAGAAGAGAATACTGTTGCCGCCCTTTCCCATTCTGCTGAGTTCGGTACATTTTCAGCACTTTCCAGCAGTGTGACTGCCTTCCAGTTTTCTTGTCTGTATTCACGGTGGTCCAGTTAAAACAGAACGGCCTCTCGCGGGGCCTGGTCTTCCTCCCAGACATTCTGTGAAGACACTTTTATTATATCCAGGTTAAACATCCCAAGTTATGCGAGACAAGTCACTTTCCTGTTATTTGTTGTCTACTTAAATAAAACGTATCCTGACTTATCTATTTACTGTTTACTAAACAGGTTTTTTATTTTCAACATTTTGCTATTTTCAAGATGTCAGTTTGCTAAAACATAAAATTTCTGACTTTCATGTGCTGTGTACATAAGGCCATTTATTGCCAAAAGTTTATTCCTTCAGCAGCAAATCATTTTCACAAAGGATGCTAGAGCTTAAGATTGGAGTCGTAAAGATAATGGTTTTCCCTTCTTTTTTGACGTACATCTTTTTAAATTGGGGAATTAGGGGAAGGGGAACAGACAAGTTGCTGTCGTTTTGTTCTTCAGTCTAGTTGTGGAGGACGTTGCTTCACTGGCCCAAGTTGGCACCATCATTGTGCTCTTCCCGGCGAGGCAGATCAGATGCTGGCTTCTGGACAGCCACTCACAGCGGCTGCTGGCCGCTCACGCTGGCTGCTGGCTACACACGGTAGCCCATGGCAACCCACTGCAGCAGTGGCTGCAGCCTACGCGGTCTTCGGCGACTCACGGCAGCCCAGCTCCAGGTTGAGCCGTTGTTCAGCATCTTAGCTGTGAGGGCAGTGTCACTGGCCCTCATATGTGGGATCCGAACCGGGGCCCTCTGGCATCCCAAGCCAGCTCTTAAGCAACGCACCACCTGGCCGGCCCTACATCTATTTTTTTAACATTTAAAATTGAAGCAAAAAAATGACTTTTCAGAGGTTTAATTTATGATATTCTTATATATAAGAACATTTTTGGCAGAAAATTTGGCAGAAAAGATGTATTTTATCTCATAAATTGGGCTCCATGGAAACCTAAAAAATAGCAGAAGGATAACAAAAAAGAAGAATGGGGGATAAGGTGAGAAAATTTTACTTGGCTATTTGTGGGAGAACGTTAAAAGAGGAAGGATTTATAGCTTATGCTTTCCTTTCTTAAAAGGCCACTGCGGAAGCCAACAATTTAGCAGCCGCAGCCTCTGCGAAGGACGTTTATTATAACAACATGGAAGAGGTATGTTGGACATCTGTCTTATTCTGAGATAGCTATAGCCTGGACATTGATTGCTGCTGACTTTCAGAGCCCCGACTTGGTCCTGTTTAGTGTGTCTTAAGACGATGAGGCAACAAAGCTGTATTCAGGCCCTAGTTACTGCCATTTCTAACCCGGGCTTTCTTGCAGTGTCGCTGCTCTCATTGATCAGTGTCACCCTGGTATTTAAGTGTGCTTTTCAGAGGAAGTGAACCCAGACTTCATTGGTCTTCATCATCATTTGAAAGTTAATTGCTAATAGCTTAAAGTATTCTAAGGTTTTTCACTTATTTTATTTGGCACTTGTTTTTGAAGGGATCTTCACTGCATTGTGTCTTTGTTCTTTTCAGGTTTGTGGGGGAGAGAAACCTTACTTGTCTCCAGACATTCTAGAAGAGAAACACTGTGAATTCAGACAACGGGCTCTGGACCATTTTAAGAAGACCAAGAAGATGGGTGGGAAGGATTTTAGCCTTCGTTACCAGCAGGAGCTGGAGGAGGAGATCAAGGAACTCTATGAGAACTTCTGCAAGCATAATGGTAGCAAGAACATCTTCAGCACCTTCCGAACCCCCGCGGTGCTCTTCACGGGCATCGTGGCTTTGTACATAGCCTCGGGCCTCACTGGCTTTATCGGGCTGGAGGTTGTGGCCCAGCTGTTCAACTGTATAGTTGGATTGCTATTAATAGCGCTTCTCACCTGGGGGTACATCAGGTACTCCGGCCAGTATCGTGAGCTGGGCGGAGCTATCGATGCTGGCGCAGCGTATGTATTAGAGCAGGTAAGTGGTGCCAGCTGGGGAGCCTGAGCATTGATAGTTGATACTTGTGTTTCTGTTGTAAAATATCTCTATCGGGAAGAGCTTCCTAGTGAAAGAAGGCATGAAAAACTTTCCCTGGCCATTCTGTTTTAACTGGATAGGCATTTTGTTTTATTATCCTTCTTTAGGATATTAATATTTAATTTTGATACTTTGTTTTCATGCCTAACAACTACCCTTTAATGCAAAAAAAGTTCCAGCTTAGACACATTGTGTTCCCCACAGGAAACATTTAACACGTTCTTCAGACACAATTCCTGACTGCTTCTCTCCCCCCATCTGAGGTTAATTTGCTTCACTGAAAATCAAGAGCTTTGAAAAATATGTACTTAACAGAATTTTCTCTTTTAAATCCTATTAATGGATGGCGTCTTTTTCGTTTAAAATCTTCCAAAAAGCCAGTGGCTTTTGACATTGACATATCTCCAGGTTTATAGATCCTTGAGACTCCGGTTGCTTTCTTTTTCTGAGCAGCGTGAACAGATCAGTTAAGTTAGAAGCGTGTGTTGGAGCCAGGAGAGCAGCCCACTTCACCGCAACCACAGAACAGAGGCTCAGCTCACTCTCCTGGGAGGTAGCTGCTGCCACAGGCTCCTCTGCCACCGCATTTTCATTCCCCTGGTTTCTGTAATGTACTGATGAGGTAGATAGATTTTTGAAACTTTATCTCCAAGGACTTACTCTCTTGCTGCTGTGCTGTATTTTATTAACTTACATGTTGAATCAATGGACTTTTGCAGGCTACTTCTCATGTTGGTAATTCCACTCAGGCTGCCGTGAGGGATGCAATTGCTGGGAGATCCCCGGTGGATAAAAAAACTCAATAGCATCTTAACAAGAGGATCCAACAAGAATCCCTGACCAGTCGCTACCAATCTCTGGGTTTCTGCCATGACCACAGGTCCAGGTCCGGAGGAATGCAGATCTGGGACCGTCTGGGAAGAGCTGGAACACAGCACTAGTAAATGAACAGACCTTTCCTGTGGTTTCAAATTCTTAAACACACTTCCATTTCTGGTGGAAGCATTTCTTTTCCTTGCTGATGATGTAGATCCAAGCCTGTGTCTGTTTTCTTATTACTCTCTGCTTTGTGCACTTTATGGGGGGAAAGCTAAAGGAAAAAACGGGAATGTGGATTTAAGTCGTTTATGTGCCACTTAGTGCCTTTTAAGATTGAGTCCGTGCGTTTGCCAACATGAGAGGGAGGGACTGGACAGCCTCATGAAAGATGCTGTTTGGGGTGAAATTTGTCAGTTCTTTTATACCTTACTCTGTTGAAAAGGATTCCTTTTTTTAAAAGTTTACAAAATTTGCAAAAGCTTCAGAACTAAAGACTGAAAATGATGTCATTACACTTTTAAAATCTTATGTTAGAGAATCCCATTTACCACAGTTTTGTTGGAACAATTTTTTTTTTGTGCTTTTATTTTCCCATAGCTTCTTTCCAGAAAAGAGCAAACATGCCTTCGAAAGCCAGAGTGGCTCATAATAAAAGGAATGAGCTTGAAAATTTAAGAAAAAAGCTTGTGTTTAAACAAACCATGTGACCTCTGATAAGTCACTTGAACTTGTGCCTTGGTCAGATTCACTGTTTGTTGGTTTACATGCATATATTATACACAACTCACACACAATTGTCACTGAGGTTTTGTTTTTGAGAGTCCTGCATAAGAACAGAACTTTATTACGAATTAAAGGAAAGACATTACCAAGCATTACTACCTTTATTTAATGTCCAGTGTCACGTGGCTTAGCAGTAAATCAGGTCTTTATTCAAAATGTTTATTTGCATTGTCCTATGCACTAATATTTTTAATAATGAAACTAAAACTATGTGTCTTATTTAGTGAGCCTTCCTTTATTTAACTTGACTTGACCTGTCTGGTAGCTTTAAAATATAGCTTTGGTTTAGTAAGGACCAAAGACCCACCCAAATATGGACAATATCTAGAAGTATCTAAGAGTTCTTTTTTATTTATCTTGATTGTGTGATAAAAAAATTTTATCTGTTGGTTGCCTTTTCCTTTGATTTATAATGAGGAATTATTGTGGATTTTAAAACTTCTTAAAATTTGCCTGCAAGTATTTATATAAACATTTGGGTATGTGAGCCTTAATTCTTAAGATAATTTTTGTTGTAGGAGGGATATAGGAAGGCTTAGGCAAAATCTGAATAAATTGTGTATATATGAAGTATGAATGGAATGTGGAAAAAAGAAAGTCTCTTCTAGCATGTAAACTCTATCAAAGAATTTTTTTTATAAGTCCTGAATTAATTCCAAGGATTTTGTGTTGTTTTCATATTTACATACCATCTTGCCCTGAAGTTCTTGCTATATTATTTACTTGCTGTTAAATTTTAGAAAAATTTTAAATTGTTATAAAATCTATTTACTTGTAGATTGTGATGCTAGCTTTGACTGTTAAGTTGAAAGCTTAATTTTGAAAATTGAGTGGCATTTTCAGGTGGCCTCTCATCTTCCTGAAGGTTCATACTTATTAGCTAACGGCCTTATAGATGTTAATTAAAAACAAACAAACCAGAAAATCACTAGAGTTCAGATTGATAATATCAGTGTGCTGGATGATGTTTTGCCAGAACGAAATTGCTCAAGTTGGGTTTATTTTTTTATTTTATTTTTATTTTTTTCCTTTTTATTGTTAGTTTCAGGTGTACAGAACAATGCAATAGTTATCTTTTTCACCCTCACAAAGTAACAACCCCCTTCTCCCCATTTATTGCCCTCCTCCCCTGATATCATGCTTATCTATTAAAATTCCATCGACTCCATTCCCACTCTCTACTCCATGTCCCGTGTCTATATGTATATATAATTATAGTTGACATACAATATTATTCAACATCAACTTCAGAAATACAGTGCGGTGGTCAGTCCTCTACACCGACTATGAAGTGGTCTCCCCCACAAGACATGGGTCCATCTGGCCCCCTAAGAAATATTTACAACATTATTGATTATATTCCCCAGATAAAGTTGGGTTTAATAAATCTACTATTTGCATGTTTTACTTTTTGCTAAAAAAAAATAAAAAAAATAAAAAAGCCTCACAGACGTTGAGATATTTAGCTTTTAATGCATTCCAGAAGCACATAGATTTTAGAATAATTATCTAGAATGGTCCTACTTTTAATGGCGAGAAAAGGATGATGTGTCTAAAACTTATTTTAATACTGAAGTATTAGATTTTTTAAAATAAGAAAATGATAATGTGTGATCTAATGAAATCTTAGGATTTATTTACTGTTTAAATTCATCATCCCTGTTTTGATCTTAAAGGAATAACTTGACTTAATTACCCTGGGGAAGCCTTATATATTTTTTGTGTTTATTGGTTAACTTATTCTGGCTCTGGCAAGTGTTTATAAAGTTTTCTCAGTCAAGATTCTTAGGAGTTTTCTTTGGCCTCTTTTCTCTTTTAACAGTAAACTGATGATTTTTATAATGGCTTTTTCAATAAAAGATGCATTCTCATTGTTGGCTTAAATAGTCCGAGGGAGATTTATAACCAGGTTGAAAAGAATGTCTTTTATCTCTTAACTTCCCTCAGCCTTTAATTTGTGGGTCAGGGACATTACGTAGGAGTTCAGACTATGTTTGTGTAGTGTTGTTGCTCTGCCACTGCTGGCTGGCCTTTCCACACAGTGGTTTTTATTTGCACATTCCTGATAGTATATGGGTACGTTCCTATTAACATTTAAAGGAGGATTTCAAATTTTTCTATTGAAAGAATTTATTTCAGGAGAGGTTAAATGTTAAGTTCTTTTTTTTTTCCCCAAATACTTCCAATTAGCTTCTTATAGTAAAAATAATAGAATAAAAATTTTGATTCTTTCACTGAGAAGTCTTTCTAGATTGGTTTGTAGACAAAATAAGGGCAAATTATCATGTTATCATGTATGATGATAAAACATCTTCAGAGTCATTCCTTATTAGCAGTATACCAAGAGGTCTGTTCCATGGAGGTTTTTCACACTTGGTAAAATTGCCTGTGAATATTGTTTTCACTTTACCTGTTCTTTCTGTTTCTCTTAATGAAGTAAAATGCTTTAGGCATAGAAGCAAACAGCCTTGTACTGGAAGTGTGTTTCTTTAGCAGGCCATACCCAGTGTTCTGCCTGGCTTTATAAAAATGGTGTCCTGGGTAGGGTGAGTTTGGATGAGTATATGTAAGTATGTATAAATTCTAGAGAAATTAAGTAAATTGATTTAAACCCAGGCAAAATTGATTTAAAAAAAAAGTTTTATTTTTTTCCTAGAATTTTTTTTGTTTTTTAATATAACTTATATGGAAGTCTTTATGGAACTCCCCCCCCCCCCCCGTAGAACTATTGAAATGAAATTTAGGGTGATTTGGGATAGCTACCACTAAGGTAGCTAGCGTGGGCTATGTCATTCTGGCTTACATTTAGATTCAACAAAATTTTAGTCAAGGAATGAGGGCATAATGAAGACAAGTTTCAGTTATGACAGTACAGACTATTTGTATAAGTGCTTTTTTTTTAAAGGACATTAGGAACCCCATTGTAAAAGACAATTTGCAATTGAATAGTTTTCCTTAATGGGTAAATCATGTTATAGCTATGTTTTGGGTAGTGGCTCTTATCTACCTTGGAGTGCATATGACTTACCTGGGATTCTTGTTTAAAAAAGCTCAAATCCCCAGCTTTACACCCAGGGATTGCCTCAGTTGGTCTGGGCTGTGGTCCTGGAACCACTTTTATAAACAGTATCACAGGTGGTTTGGAAACCCCAGTGAGAGAGACTGCTCTGTGCGGTGGGCAAGTGCCATTCAGCATGGTCCCGAGGCAAGCGGACGGCTTTTACTGAGGTTCAGGTTCGGTGGTCTTCTGACAGACACAATCGCTGAGCTTACCGTGTTCAGAGTAGTAAGGATGCCTGTATCTAGAGGATTATCTAAATTCCTTAAAACCGTTTTTCTAAATTAGGATGTCATAGTGCCTTCTCTGAAAAACGAATGTAGAAGTGTCCTATTTACTAGCAGGTGTAATTAGGATAAAAAAATCCCAAACTATTTTGAAAGTTGTGTTCCCTTTAAAAAGCAAAATTCAGCACCGTAACTTGAACCCCTAAATCTTTTATGCACAGAAAACCTTAATCCACAAATAAAAATAATGAACAAAAAGGAAGGAGAGGATAAATAAGAACTGAAAATTAGCAACACAAGTACCCCATATCAGGAACTTTTCAAAACAGATCTGGGGACAGAAAGATTTTAAAATAAATTTTTCTTCCTTGGGAAGGAATTTCATGTGCCAGAACTAAAATTTCAGTGCGGTGTTCTTAGGACCAAGGGAAGGCTGAGTTTGATTCCCAAGCTTTCCAATTTAGATGAATAAATGCTGTCATGGACTAAAGCCTTAAGGGAGTTAATATTAATCTTAAACATATAATTTTTTTTCAGATTTCTTTAAAAATGATTTATTCAAAGTATTTTCTCCTATACCCTTTTAAAATGGCTTTAATATTTAATATACTTTTTAAAAAGTGCAATAGGATGAGATTATGCTATTAGTATATTAAAAGCATGTTTCTGTTTCTTAATTGTAAGGTCATTTAATGGAATAAAGATCACAGCACCATGTTATCTGTGTTTTTCTCTTCTTCGGCTCTTTAATCTGGGACGATCTAGGAAACAGATTTGGGTTTGGCAAAGCAAATAGGCTATCTAAGAGGATGGATAACTCAGTGTCAGATATAATAGTTAGTGGTAATGTGATTTGAGGGAGTTGGCTTTCTCTGTCCTACAAAACAATACTGAACTATTGGGTCTTCAGAAAAGTCATGACGCATGTTTGCAACAGATGGCACTTGGTTCATTTTAGGAAGTATTAGAGTCATTTGCATCTATGTCATTGCTATGTCATTGCTATGTCATTTGACAGCTGACAGTTCTAGCTTCATTCTAAAAAAAAATTGAGCGATTTGGTTAGTTTTGGAGATTTTACAACAAATTGAAGATGGAAGACCAAACTGCATTTTTGCCATATTTTCTCTTTTACTTCCATAAAGATAAGAATGCGCGCCAAGCTTGTGAAAAGTTGTATAAAGTTTACGGTGACAATGCTCTACAAGAATGTCAGTGCTAACAATGGTTCATGAAATTCCGTGCTGGTTATTTTGATCTCAACGATGCTCCTTGGTCAGGAAGGCCCACTGAGGTTGATGACGACAAAGTAAAGGCATTGATGGAGTCAAACCCACGTTACACGACACGAGAGATTGCAGAAACATTGAACATCCATCATTCAAGCGTTCACGACCACCTGAAGAAGCTGGGAAACGTAAGCAAGCTTGATATTTGGGTTCCGCATGAACTCAAAGAAGTTCATTTGACGGCGCGTATAAACATCTGCAATATGATGATTAAGTGTGAGGAAAGTGGTCCTTTTTTGAAGTGACTGATAACTGGTGATGAGAAGTGGATTGTTTACAACAATGTGGTGTGCAAACGGTCTTGGTCCCGATGTGATGATTCGCCTCAAATGACATCGAAAGCAGACATTCGTCAGAGGAAGGTTATGCTCTTAGTGTGGTGGAATTTTAAAGGTGTCATGTTTTGCGAGCTCCTACCAAGGAACCAAACAATTCGAATGTGTACTGTTGGCAGTTGGACAGTTTGAACGAATCCATCATCCAGAAACGTCCAGAGCTTGTTAATTATAAAGGAGTTGTGTTCCATCGCGACAATGCGAGACCACACACAAGTTTGATCACCCGTCAAAAATTATTGGAGCTTGGATGGGATGTGTTGCCACACCCACCATACTCGCCTGACTTTGCGCCGTCA